ATTTACTATACAATTGTTAATACATAAATTTTAAAAGCCAAATCCCAAAAATATATAATCATTTATTCGCTTGATATAACATAACACCCGAAGATTTAGGTGAAGTGGTATAAGCAACATAACCAGATCCAACTTCACTAGAGCTGTTTAACCCCTTCTGCTCATCAATTATAATATTAGCAATTCACCAATGCAACACCAACAGCATAGTTGGTGGTCGCAAGCCATTATCCACCCGTTAACATAGCAATAAAGGAAAGTACCCAATATAGGAATCAGATATAATGGTAATGTGAGAATTATCATAAGTCTAAAAGTTCGAAAAAAGACATGTTTGCAATTAATTATAATCAAGCATCCATCGAAATCTCAATTGATTTTACAATTATTTGATATGCTATCAAAGTTAACCCAGTCCAGAAATCGTGACAACATAATATCACATCAGAAACATTTTCTTTCTCATCGTCCAACACCTGCGATAATTCTTTCAGCCTCAACACCTGATCTTGATCAACAACACGTCTTGCCAGATCGGAGTAACAAGTAAATAAAAAATCAAGGTGAATATTACACTTTCTATAATATATAGAATCACTGAAAGTATTCATGATAATCATGCAGAAACTCTGACATCGGAGAGTTCATTTACTTGTAGATGAAGTAGAAACACAAATGATAGTCCAAGTGCAAAAAGTGCTACAAATTATTCTTCGAGCTAGACTTCAGTTATAAGAAAGTGAGTATAAAGAGTGTGGAAGTATCATTTTCTTGTGAATTGCGACAAATATTTTGTTGTATATAATTCTTGTAGCTCTATATTCGAATTTCTTTTAAAACTATTGTCTGCTTTCATGAAACTAAGATTTTCTGGAGCTAAAAAACTGGATTATTTTTTTATAATATATTGTAAATGGCAGAAGAAATTAACAGGAATGAGGAGATATCGAGCTTCTTTCAAAAATAACTGTAACTTGATAATGAAATATATTTATTTTATCAAAATCAAAAGTAAATATTTGAGAATAGTAAAAATAAGATATTATTAAGTTATTTTGAGAAAATTTGTTTGCAAATATGTTAAATTATATATCTGTAAATTTTTATTTAGTTAGTTTTTATAATTCAGGTATATTTTTCTCATTATATATGGTGAGCAGATAAAATTAAAGTATATATAAGATGTTTATTTCCAAATAAGATTAATTTTTTCAAAAATAGATTCAGATTGCTCTAAAATGTACTTATTATAATAGTTATTTATAAACTATAATGTAATTTTCTTTGAATCATGTAATACAACTTTATATATTTTACTCTCATGATGATCCATCCAGTCAGATTGCTTTGTAAATAGTTTCAAAATTTCCTTTTGCAAAATATTGGTGAATTTTTCAAAAGAGATTCATTCAAAAAATATTGCATATTCATTATATTTCATGCATGTCTTTATTTTTGCTAGATTATTCAACTTTATAAATTTAAGAGAGAGAGAGAAAGCAACTCTTGTTTCTTAACAATGAGCACATTAACTACAATGAGTAATATTGTAATATTAATTACAATAATTGTGAGCTTGACAACGAGTACATTGAGTATTTTTTCAATATTCATTTTATAAAATAAATGATGACTTAGACAGAACATCTTTTAATGACTTCTATCTATATATGTGTATATAAATAAAGAATGTGTGTTTTATGTTGAAAAAAGAGCCATATTTTTATAGAACTAGTTTAAACAGATAGAGATTTTACGTATTGCATGTACTGTATCAGTATTCAACAAATTGTTAATTACATAATGAACAAATAGGTGTATAAATTATATCAAGATAGTGATAATTCTCTTAACAAGCAATATAATAAATATTTATACTACATATATATAAATTAATTAAATATTAATACAAGAAAAAATAATTGAATTTCTAGTATAATATTGATAAATAAAAGTACATATAATATAAATTCCTATCAGGTGATTTTTGTTTATTAGACATCTGATCAAGATGAGTCATAATATAATTTGTAGAATCTGAGGATCACTTGATATTTGACGCTTCCTTATCATTATCACAACTCTAAAAAAACATGAAAGTTCATAGATTTTTAGAAGATAAAATGAAATATTAATGTGAAATTATCGAATTAGAAAACTTCAAACTAAAACATACAGTCGTTTCCTCTATAGTTACCTCTCCGTATGATCACTCCTCCCTTAAAGTCCTAGACTACTAAATAAATAAAAACTCTTTATACATATTTGAGAAGTATTACTACATTTTATTAAAGATATACTTCTCTTAAAGCATACTCTTAAAAATAATAAATTCATTTAATAACGAACTCTGACTGTACGTGGTGTAATTAATATTTTGTTCAGTTATCAGAGAAAATATAACTATTAGACAATTAACACTTCTTGCATATGCAAGAAAAAGTGTACATGTACTGTTCATCCAGCTTTAAATTTATATCCTGCAATTTTGTCACTAATCTGGCTATATTTGAAGCTCTTTGTATTTCTTTAATTATTGCTTCAGCATAATTGAGCTTTGTGAGCATATCGTAAGTGAATTGCGAAGGATCATTACCAATAATTTGATGAATTTCTTGAAGTAGATGTGCCTTTACTGCTGAATTTTGGCAAACATAATAAATTATATAACAGAAATTTTGTGCAGACTGCATACATAAAATATATATATTTTAGTATGTATTTAATTACATTAGTTTATATAACAATTAGTTATTTTAACGTTTACTGTTTGAATTTCACCAATTATAACTTCATCTTTTAAAGGTCTCATTTCTTCTATATCATCAGATTTAGAATCTTCATCCCGTGTTGTATTAGTTATTAATAATCTTGCATTCTGTAATGGTAGTGTTTTGATTGATAATTTCTCAATCTCTTGTTATCATTCTTCAATTATTTCGTTAATTTTTTTTATCAAACTCTTTGATGTCATTCATATAATTTTTTGTGTATTCACGGAATCCAGGAACATAATAATGTCTTACTACATGTGGGAAAAAATAAAAGCATTGTATTGTTACAGGTTAGTGACTGATTATAGGAATTAGCTGCTAATCTGTAACTTGGATGGGAGAAACAAATTAAACTAAAG